CCCCAATATACTATAGTAGTTTCCATTTTATTTTCCATTATCCCTATATAACCCTACACCCTAAACCCTATATAACCCATTATAGTAGCTTCCATTTGATTTTCCATTATCCCAATATAACTCCAATATCCTTTTCCATGAGGGGAGCTGAAGGAAAGAATCGTGAGCAGGCGAGCGGGAGCATCATTGGGTTATATAGGGATATTGGGGTATATATTGGGATAATGGAAAAGAAAATGGAAACCCTAGGTCCCTTTAAAGGGACATATAGGCTTATATTAGGGTTATATAGGGATATTGGAGTTAGATTGGGATAATGGAAAATAAAATGGAAACTACTGTAGTATATTGGGGTTATATAGGGATAATGGAAAAGAAAATGGAAACTACTATTGAATGTGTTTTCATCTGTCTTCATTTGCTCAGAGACAAAGGAATATTGCTGCAAGGGATCTGAACGAATACGTCTGGAACTTCACATGATGCGAGGTGCAAAGAGCCCAAGAAGCACACGACACCCTGAACCCACCTCATTGATAAGATCCTAGGACAAACAAGATTAAGCTCAAATATTAAGTGCCTTCTTGCTTCAGCCTGTAATGCGAACTTTCTCTCAAGAGCCACCACGTCTGTGCCCTTCACGAGCAAAGGCTTTATGCAAGATGACCGTACGGTGTCGCGATTGAATTATATGCATGTATCCCTGTTGAAACTCAGGGTATGGAATCTTCTACCACTGCAGTGCAGGCAAGGAGCAATCGCATCATGATGCAGACGGGGTAAAATCCGGAGATCCAGCGGTTTGCCCTGGGAACGACACAAGAATGCACTACCCAAAAGCTGCTGATGGCGGAGGAGGCATCTGCCAAGCATACATGTCAGCAACCGGCAGCATGTGCCTGATCACGAATCCCAGTTGTTCCATGTCGTCGAAGAGCTGTTGATCAAAAGCTCTTGCGTTGAAACCTGAGCTGTTCTCAGCAGAATTCAATGATTGGCCTTCAGAATCTTAGATACAGCACGATTGTGGCTGACAAGGTTTCAATCTCAAATATCTCAAACCCGAAACGAACACAGAACACCTCTCTCTGTTGAACTGTCTCGGTCAATACCAAGTTGCACTCTGTGCTTGACGTGTTGAAGGATGCCCGGCAAGCAGAGTGCACGCCGATGTAGGACTGCCAATGGTGGGACTGTACACACAAAAAATGTCTTGCACTGCGAAAACATCAACCAGTTTCAATTTTTGCCCATAGTACATATCAACACATGCAGAATTCGTACATATGATTCGATCTCTATGAGCTGTGCTGTACTCTGACTACAGCAGCTCTTGGACAGCTCCACCGACTGCAAGCAAGAAGGCAACGATTCTGCCAAGTCCGAATGAATATTAATAACGATACAAACGATAGAAATAACAATAACAACAACAATAAGAATTTTTGTTGTACTATAGACTGCATTCAGTTCTCGAGGAGGCATGCTTTTGACAACAACCTATAGGGGGTATATAGGATTATGTAGAGGTTTTTCGGGGCTTACAGGATTTATAGGATTTTTCGAGGCCGGCTGGCATTCCCCAGGCCTGGAGTGTGGTCGACAACTCCGCCTGCGATCAGGTGCACTGAAGCCTAAAAAACTAACAATAGCGGAGGTTGTATAGGGAGTTGTATAGGGGACTACTATGAGGGATATTAAGGGGGATACTAGGAGACTAGACTGTGGAGAATCAGAAAAAATCAAAATGAAATGGAAACTAGGCTTATGTATGCGGGTACAATACAGAAAACGGTGTCACTACACATAATCAACTCACCGTCAATCGCTTCAAACTTTGGATCCTCTATCTACACCCTGTAAAACCCGTGTGCCCGAGTGGCAGGCCCTGAGCAGTAGGAGGGATCCACCAAAACCCTATGCTTACTGGTTCTTAGAAGGGAATAAGGGAATATAGTCTATGCATATATCTATAGCTATATATTTAGAGGGACTATATTAAGGATTATCGCTTATTCCCTACTAAGAACCATTAAGCATGTTCTGCATGAAAGAAGTTTATCACCACTGCTTTGCGAGGCCGCCTGTCCGACGTTCTGCGTGATCCAGGTTATCAGGATCGCAAAGGCTAGCACAATGGAGACCCAATCCACCACATTCCAAAAATTCCAATAGGACTTCCTGGTGGAGTGAAGACTTCCATGTCTGTTGAAAACAGTTCCAACACTATGCACATGCCCATCGTGCTGGAGTGCCGAGCATCCAAGCTTTTACGAAATTGCACTTGTGCTCTCGCAGGCAAGCTATCGATTCGTAACCTGGCACGGAGGGCTCTCAGCAAGCAGCGGACGACTACGCAGACTAGTTGTTGTAAATGGACACACTGCCATGGCCTTCATTCAAGAATAGTATGAGGATATGGCCGAAAAAAAGCACCTTGCCAGCGCAGCATGCTTGCAGCTACCTGCAATGTGAGAGGCAACACGGCAAGGCAGCATCCACCTCGTACAGCCAGCTCACAAAATCAGCATGGGACTCCAGCACGACAGACCTGCACACAAAGTTCCGAAAGTGATGAAACCCTTTCTGCACAGCTTTAACTTCGAGTCTAGACACTGCTCAAGATACACTTCCCCAGGCAAACATAGAACCTCACTGGTGGCCTTGCAAGAACTACTCTCCGCTCACAGGGGGCCTACATGGACCCCTAATACATACTTAAAGCCAAATCCTCAACTTGAACCCTTCAAGCCAAAACCCCAGCTCCTAATCGCCAAAACCAAATTCTCCACCCCAATCTTAAGCCTGAAACCTCTGACGCCAAGCAATTTGCTCTTGTAGAAGGATAGAACCCATGGACTTTCAAGGCAGGCCTGTGTGTGATCTGCTTCCAAGGTCGTCCTGTTGGACAGTTTGGGGTTTAGGGAAACTTGGAAGTCTAGGGTTCAGGGGTTTTGGGGTTCGGCTTAGGGTATGATAGGGTATCGGGTTTAGTTTTCTTGAAGCCAACGGGATTCTACACCTGCCTCAGCACTCGTCCTTGGGTAGCTCTTACTTCATCCGCACTCGAGCAGCCCTCTCAGTAGACGATTGGAAAAATTGTTGGACTTCAAACCGTGAACTCATCCACTCACCAATACCCAGCTACCGACAACCAGGCACTTCACCCCTTGCTTGCGTGGCAGCAGCTGCGCGAACTGGCTCTTTCAGTTTTTCTTAAATCCCGTCGGCCCTTTTTGTGCCAAGCATGCTGCTCCGGAATGCTGTAGCTCATTTTGCCAGCAAACACTCTCATGTGTCACTGGCTTTTGAGTTTAGAATTTAGGGTTAAGATTTAGAGCTTTGGGGTCGATACTGTACTGGTCATCACAGTTGGCGCTTGTTCAAAACACGCTCTAATATCCTGTTGGTTTGGGAGATATAAGGTAGACCTAAATTCTAGTCTGCTACAAGGCGAACAAGAATGAAGAAAACAGCGGGCTTTTCTCAAAGAATTCACACTCTCCTCGCACAATCCCTAGCATCCACGCATCTTCCAGATGTTACACTTTCGACGCAATCTCTACATGGGCTAGGATTGTTTTCATCAGGGTGTCAGAAGGAAAGGCCATCCATTTTCCTGCAGACCTCCATGTACAGTCACCCAAAACAGCATCAAGGCTGCACCATCTGATCAGGTGTTCACATGATAGAACCTTTGATACCCGCACTCGATGTAGGGAGGTTTCTGCAAGTGCTCTTAAGACGTGGCCCTCGTGATGCTCGGTCCCCGCCTGACATTCCGAACATGAAGTGGATGCTAGTTGTGGTGAGCATATCCTCGGCAGCTTGCAAGAAATAGGCGTCACGCAATAATCTTGCCTGCTGGTCTTGCAATTTCGTCTGCACGCTGCAGCAAGTACCTTCTTGCACACCAAGATGCATAATACGAGTTGTATGTCATAAAGCTGACCTGTCCAATCCAGGATGGCGCTAGCTTCTGAAGCTAATGATCGAGTGTCAACCACTCCGAAAAGGTATCGGTGGCCTAAACATACAAACGAAGGGTAGTGGGAACACCAATGAGGGGGCATTGCAAGCACTTGCATGTCTTGTAGGAAAAAAGCCACCAGCCAGAAAAACACAGCATGCGACAGGAAGCCAACGGACATAGGGGCCCCACTATAGACCCTGATATACTATGATCCTTGTTATAGAGACTCCCAAAAAGGTACCCCTAAATTTGGGAAGCCCCCATATGCCCTCAATCCATCTGGATCTTTGCAACAAGGAGGGGCCCCTGACATGGACTCGAATCCTTGGTGAGGGATGCCTTAAAAAGTGACCAGTACTTCTTGGAAACCTGAACGGGAATCATGCCCCATGAACCCTAAACCCTAATAAACCCTTAACCCCACCCTGTAGATTGGTGCGAGTTCTTGCTCTGAGGCTGCACTGGCTCATTTTTAGGGTTTAGGGTTTAGATTGGGGTTATACTAGGGTCATATTCGGACTATATTGGGGTTGTATTGGGACAATGGAAAATAAAATGGAAACTACTATATTATAGGTGGACTTTATCAAAATAGTTTCCCGAAGACCATGATCAAGCCCCAATGAAGTCATGAAGCCATAAGACTCTGAATTGCGGAAACTAACACCAGGGATTTCAACTCTGGGAAAGCCCCTTTGCCTTCACTCGATACGTGCGATTGTCGAGCCAGCGCCGGAGCTCTAAATCTCGCAACTGCTCAAACACCTGAGATTTTGCGTTTAGGGCTTAGCTTCAGCACTGATATATACTATAGTAGTTTCCATCTCATTTTCCATTATCCCTATATTACCCCTATATATACCCTATAACCCCTATATGCTATAGTAGTTTCCATTTTTTCCATTATCCCTATATAACCCCTATGTACCATAGTAGTTTCCATTACGCTCTGATATCACTTCCGGGGGCCCATAATCAAGACGGCGGCCTGGAGCTTGAGAGATTTTGGGTTGAGAATTTTGAACTTGCTTATATTGTGTCCTTATATACCCTTATATCTCCCCTGTAACCCCCTTGAACTTCAAGGGACCCCTAAATCTGGAAACCCTGTAGAGTCCCGAAAAAACTGCTTGCTGACCTTACCTGCCACTGCCAACAAATCTATCCCAAGGTTGACAACATTACGGCGCACCATAATTTTAAGCTTGCAAGTCGTGTAGTCGTGTTCTGCTCTTGGTTTGCCTACCTGCACTGATGGCAAAACAAGGCCGGACGGAAACTGCTCGCTGAGAAACGGTGACATTGGGAAACTCCATGAGGTAATCCAGCCATTCGATGATAACATTGTCATTGCTTTCGATCAGGTCCTGTCAGCATGCCCTGCAAGCCATGCTTGTTCGGGTTTTGGGGATTACCTCAATACTGGAAGTCAAAAGAGAAGATGGAACAGAATATGCAAAATGAAATGGATGCTGGGATGATGTTCACAAGGCTAACCATTCAAGGCATGTCTACTGCTCGAAGCTCATGGCAGCCCGGGTCCTCCTGGGAAACGTCAAGCTCAGTTGGCTTTAGTCTCAAGTCCAGGCCATCAAACTGAACACATTCCATCTGCATGGAAGCAGCCACCTCAGGTGAACCCACTCAGCTTCTGCAACTGCACTGTAGTTGGGGAATGGAAAGTGGCATTAGGAGGCAAGGCGAAGAAGCGACAGATAGTGTCACTCAACATCTCAATCAAGAGACATACCAAAAATCAAAGAAATGCTCTTCAAACTCAGCTGCCCTTGGGTTCCTGCATGTCGAATCTGTTAGCCTGCACGCAAGGAATTTGCAAGCCATACACACAATGGGCGACGTCATGAGTCCGCGGCCTCTGCTGCACTAGCTTCACACCCCCAACCTTCCGATTGTGAGTCAAATACCTTGCAGGTGAGCAGATCAGGATCCAGCTGCGTGCCCAGGGATTCTTAAAACCGTGTCCCTCGTTGTACCATGTTTACTGGAGAAATACACCACGATCAGGTCACGCACTCATCTGCAAACAGGCTGCATGCTCGCTTCGGAAAAGGTCATCGGTGGCAAAACATACGTAGCTCCTTCAGACACCGGGTTGACGGTCGGGAAGTAGATTGCCTTATCAATCGTGGCATATAGCAGCAAATCACATGCCAACAGCAGTACAGCCCAGAAAAACTCGGTCTAGCCGAGCTTCCGAGAATCCCAGGTTCATCCACGAATACCAATCTGCAAATGTGTTGACATCCTCAGTGCAAGCAGGAAGGATGGCACACCCTGAACTGCTCTTCATAATGGCCATGATGCTAAGCTTAACTGATGGCAAAGAATCTTGAAAGTTCTTGTGGCCCATGTAGAGAGGGCTGGAGAACGCGAAATTCGCATTCCTCATTGCGTCGTGCGCACTTACTCCAAACACTGAAGTGAATTCCTGAAAACAGCGGTCTTGCTCCACAGCCGCAGCAACTTGTCCATCCCAAACAGTGCTTGGTCAAGGGACTCTGCAATGTCGTAGTCTATCGCCTTCTCCACGCTATGAACAGAATCCGGCTGCTCGTGGGCCAAATTCCTCCAAGATCAAGCGTCCCAACACACGCGACATGTTGGCTGCTCCCAGGAAAGTGGACAGGCAACGCCAGGACACCTATGGAGGCCTGACTCACAAGAAAAACCTCGTTGAGTATGGGAAACCAGCATCACCAAGTGCAGAGCAATAATTCTACTACTTGTTCAGGCTTGTGCCAACTCATGCAGGCAAGCCACATCAAGAAGAACCAAACGATGAGGAGGATTGCAGCCTGGAGACATGTCTTGCAGTAATAGCAATAACAGTTGTACTTCTACTAATAGCGATAAGCAGTTCTGCTACACCTCCCTTCACATGTTTTTGTTCAAGCCATCTTTATTCGTTGCAACGCAGCCGTTCTGTCGCGCAAGCCGAGACTCCACAGAATCACACAGCTTTGCCAGCTGATGGGAACTCAAATGAATCTGAAACTGGGCTTACACACAGATTATGCAGTGTAGAAGCCTGAAGAATGGCATGCGTTTTGGGTTTCGGGACGGTTTGACTCTTGGCATTGCGGGATGGCTTCTCTCATGCTGCAGTCGGCAGTATCATGACCGGACAACCACTGTGCGGACATGGAGTGACTTGACAACCGTCGTAACAACTTTCAAGCCATCACCTGCCCTGAACTCAGACACAGTCGTGTCACCCCAGACTTTACCCACTACTTCTGCGTTGCGGAGCTTCGGGTCCTTGCAGAAAATATCTACCCTCTGGGATGTGAATGGGCTTCAGCTGCAAGAGAGGGATTGCTTCGAACTGCGCATCTCGCTCCCAAAATTGAGGAATTGCAGTAGAATGAAAACTGGAACCGGCCCTTGATAGATTCTGGTACAAGTAGACTACCGCCTACCCTCTTGAGATTCTCAAGAAGATCTATGCCATCAAGAAGACCTAATCTTGAGAGATCCCAAATTAGGTCTGCGTGGCAGGGCTGCCGCCAAGAGGCTGGCAAGTTCTTGACAGCAGCTTCACCTTCGATCTCTCCTCCCAGACGTGAGGAGCACTAGTGAGAAACAATCACGTAGGGAAGCAGCTCAAGTTATGCTCCTGTTTTTGGGTGGATAATAATAATTGATAGTAATAACAGCAGTAATGGTAATATTAAGAAAAGTAATGATAGTAGTAATTGATAGCAATATGAAAATCAATACCAGTAACAGTCCGCCGTGGGCTGCGGGCCATGTCTACACCAGACTTCCAACAGTTTGACTTACGGGCCTTTGCTACACCACTAAACTTAAGAGGGTTTTGCGGAGCAGCGGAGATTCCCAAAGTATGATTTTGGTTGGCCCAGCTAGCGGGCAATTTCTTGCCATCTTAAACCTGTAAGACTTCCAGCGGAGGCCCTGGGGACTCAGGTGTCAGGAGTCTACTTCGAGGAGGGTGTTGATCTTACTGAAGGAGCGCTGCTTCTTGAAAGTACTTCCTTGAGTCGAAGTTTTGAAGCGGCGCAGTAGTCAGCACTGCGCGAAGGGACGTGGCCATATCAAACAGCAGTCACACAACCACCCAACCATCTCCTTTCAGATATGACAGCATCACCTTTTCGGGAAGCCCGTGCTCCTTGGATAGCAGGGGGCTTTGCCATACATCTGAGCTACCCTCAGGGCCCAAAGCTCTGAATCTACAAGTCTTCTATTTAAATTGCCCCAAATGCCTGCTTCATCCTCCACTTGCCAATTGAGGTGACAGACAGGTGTTGTCAACGGATGCCAAGCCGCGGTGAGGACGTTGCTCGGATCCAACTCCTGCAAAGAATCGGCCGGCTCAACGCTGACACACGCAATTTGTTTAATCGTTCCCTTCGAACAGTACTGCTTTGCTTCCCGATCTTTCTGACTGCAATTAACAGCTCCAGAATTTATGAAATGTACACCCAAGTTGTGGAACTTCAGGCCAGCAAAACGCCCCATCCAGATTTTGAAAGCTGAGCCGTCTTAGAAGAACAAAACTAGCAAAAAAAAAAAAAAGGCNNAAAAAAAAAAAAAAAAAGGCCGATGCTGTCAGCTGTCCGCCTGTGGCAAGCTAGAAACGAGCAGGTGGGCGCTAGGGAGCGATAGGCGTTCTTCTGACGATGATTCTGACAATTGTGACACTGTTGCTCGGGCAGCCTAGTTGAAGTGCCAGGTCGCTCCTCGACTTCCAAGCCAGGATCAGTATCCACCTCGTGCTGCACTCATGCTACGCTGCATCGCAGCTAATGCTTTGTGAACGACTGAGCTGTAGACCCAGCCATAGGTGCGATGCCTTGCGAACCAGGGGGACTGTAACCTCTGAGCCCCAAAACATGGCCTGTAGTTTTAAGAAGCCCCCAAATTCGATCTCCAAGCTGCCGCTCAGACTTCCGACGAGTAACTCGGCCCGAAGCGCTAAGATCATCCGCAGGTACACGGGGTGACTCCTCCATGCCCATTCCCACTCCCACAGGAACTCTGAAACAAGCCTCACCGACCCTGGCCTTGTCGTTGGTTTGTAGACTCTTTTTCTCTTTCTTCTGGCTGGGACCAGGGGCCCGCACCCCCGTGATGACGCGCAGCACCATTCTCGCAACTTTGGCTGAGCCCGAAGCGCTGCGGTGATGAAGGGTTGATGTTTTCAGAAGTATCAGTCCGAGGCCCATTCAAGACGTCCCGGAAGCATACTCCAGATTTTGATGTGCAGATGATGCCGTCATAGTGGCAGTCATCTTGCGGCATTTGTGGCAAAAGCCATCATGACAAAAGAACTGGTACCAAGCTTGTGGTTGACTGGAAAGAGGCCTCTATTGGCCAGCACCAGCCCAGTTCCACACAAGGCCAATACCCTCAGCTCGAACAACTGCCACCAGGGCCCGCTAGGGCTACCAAGAATTACTCATGGGGGCTCAGGTGGGTCAAAAGGAACGAATTTCTAGACGTGTCAGCAAACACCAAACAAAGTATAGCCCGCCCCTCTCTTCGCGTTTTTTTGAAAGCTGGCCGAGCGCATCACCCCTTTGCAGCCCAAGGGCCACGCATGGTGAAACAGTGGCTTCGCAAGTCGCCTAACTCTGTCACGACTTCGCCTTCGCCTCTTCAGCAGCAGCGCGAAAAGATTTGGTATCGCTACCACTACTATTGCTGCTGTTGCGCGGTACAGACAACTGCATAGATTCTCGAGTCATTGCAATATTTGCTATTGCAGAAATTACTTGTTACTCTACTGGTAGTAATACTACCACCTATTACAACAACGACAAGAAGACGATGATTGCAACCGCGATAATGATGATTCCTCGCGCAACATGTAAAACCACAAGGACGATAGACTATCAAAAGTACACAAGTTCCACAATGGTTGAGGATATTATCCGGAACACTACTTTCATCTGTTGCTATGCGTATCAAGAATACTGTCCTTGTCGGCCTGCCATTCTTGCTTGCAAAATCTCTTTAAGTCCCATGGGCGCAGTTTTTCAGCAAGACCAACTGGGGTAGAAGGGATCATGGTTGTATACTCTGCTACTTCCGAGTCAGAAATGCTTTCCTCCCAACTGCGGCGGATGGAGGACATCTTGCACCACTGAAGCTCCCCCTAAACCCTAAACCGGGGTATAGTGGTGCAAGACCTCCTCCCTCCACAGCAGGTCCTGATACCAGCTTCCGGTGTTGAGGCTCTGGCCTTCCCCCGGGCTTTGGCCTGCTAGGAGGCTGCATGTAGTCACTTGCCCTTAGGGATCCTAGGGACCTAATACGGGGAACATAGAGGGATTTGAAAGAATCCTATAAAGTACTATGAAGGATTCTTTCTTTAGGGTATGTTTGGAGCAACTCTTGCTTCGGGTGGTCTTTATTGGTTGTTTTCTCCAACGCTTTGGCCTTCTGGTGCCTAGCATGCCGCAAGGAGTTCCTTGCCCTTTTAGTAGTACTAACAGTAATAGCTGTAATAGAAACAATATTACTAGTAATGGTACTAATAGCAATAGTACCCTTGTTAGTAGTAATAATAACTGCAATAGAAACATAGTATGAATATGATAGTAGTAATAATAGCAATAGTAATAGTATGCTCGACCCCCCTGTGACCCCTGCTGGACCCCTTCCCTTCCTATAGACCACTGTATGATGCCTTTGCTAATTTCTTGTTCCGCTTTCTGTTCAGGTTGATTCGGGTGATCACGCAGTTGTCCATTTTCTTTTCCATTTCTTTCTCCAATATCCCTACGCTGATCCCTGAACCCTAAACCCTAAACCCTAAGCCCTAAAACCTTAAATCTAAATCCCTACACCCAGACCCCGAACCCAAACATGTTATGCTTGCCTTGCCCGCTGCCTTGCCAGTGGCCTTGGGCGCAGCCTCCGCCTGTGGTGCCGCTGAATTTAGGTTTATGGTTTAAGGTTTGGGTTTTAGGGTTTTGGACATAAAGGGCAGAATGAGGCCTTGCATGCCGGGGATTCTATTGTTTAGGGTTCAGGGTTTCGGGTTGGAGTAGGAAGCAGGGTCAGGGTTTGACGTATGGGCTGCAGTTGAGTATGTAGGCTTGGTATGGGGATTGGATTGTCCTTGGTAAAGATGCCAAAGAAGATCACTGCTCATTCAAGTCTGAACGGTGATGGCTGCGTGCTAGCCATGATGTCAAGAGAACACTAAGTATGATGACGGTACCTATTCTCATCATGGTGTCTCGTCTCAACACAAGGAGCTGGTCAATGCAATCTGGTACAAATCCCTCGGATTCTCAACTTCAGAAAAAAGTGCGAGGATCCTTCTGCTAGGGGCCAAAGAAATGACTCTGAGGTTTGGCAAGGCCCAAAATAAGAACGCAATTCCGACAAGCGCTGGTTGCCTAAATGTCCCCGCCTTGCTCTTTGCTTCCGCCTGGCCAAATGCAAGTACAGGTTAGGGATTTAAGGGTTAGGGCTGAGGGCCAAACATTCAGGCTGGGAAGGCGAACCACAGCACCAAGATGCATGAGGCTCGGTGATCTTGTTGAAAGCAAAAACTCCACGGGAGTTAGGGCTAAGGGATGTTACTCCAAGAATGTAGAATCAAACGGACTATGAGATGAAAACTATGAGGAGATAGGGATTCAGGGCTACCGTAAGAGCCAGGCAGCCGTATTAGTACCAAACAGTAGCGTTACAGTGTTGCCTATACGAGCAACTATATGGCGATACAAGTTATAAGTTGGGTGCTTCCCTACCTAGTACAAACTTGAGGGCTCGAGAAGTTCGCCGTGTTCCACTAGGCAGGGAGATCTGTTAAAAAGCATGGTACTTACCTTTGGTCAGCTAGGTATGAAGGAATGGAACAGAGAATGGAAACTACTGTATGGGGTTATATAGGGACTACTGTACGGATCCATTGCTTCATTCCTATATACTCCTTATTGTCCCTTTTTGTCACTATTACAGGGCGGGGGGTCCACCTAAATTATACCCCTGTCACGGTTTTTGTGTTGTCCTAGCCACGTCTTCCACGAGCGGCCTTCGCTTTGGCTTTCGCTTTTGCCTTTGCACTCGGCTTCTTTACCCTGGCATTCTGTCACCGTTTGGAATTTCAGCGAGGGGTCCAAAATACCGTTGACGGGCTGTACATGACAAGACCCCCAACTCCAACAAATCCTAAATCCGAAACCCAATCAACAACAGAGGACACACCTCGAACCCTAGACACTAAGCCTGTGAGTTTCCTCCAAACATGTGAGGGGCAACTTCCAAGGATGAGGTTCAACCTTCGCTCTGGCCTCCACTCTATCCAAGTATTTCCTCACAGGAAGCCATCAGGGACCCTTAGGATATAGGGGGCTCACAAAGGGATCATAGGAAGTCCTTGTTAAGGATCCTGGTTTTTGGGCATGGCGCTAGAGCATGAGCGAAGCAAGCCAGCAACGCTTGATGAGGCTGGATGAGCCCACCCCTTCTTCTTCGCTGGCATTCGCTTCCTCCTGTTCATCCTCTGGCTCTACTTTGACCTCAGCAGCCAGTCTACGCTGAACAGGGGTTATATAAGGACTATATAAGGGTTATGTAGGGGTTATATTGGGATAATGGACAATAAAAACCAAGGAGATCCTAGCTAGGCTAGGATTGGCAAGGGCGCCCAGGCCTTGTCCTTCTCCACATCATCGCCTACCTCGTCTGGATTCTCCTTGCACCCCATGCGCGATTATTGCAAAGTTCCGAGGCTACAATTTTGTCGGTACAACAATTGTCTCACAGCTCTTCTCAGCACTATCCTTTCTAGTCCTACTTCACTGATTCTACTGCCTCCACTGCGACCAGCGACCTGTGTAAGTGGTACGATAGCATCTAACTGTTTAACTAATACCATAGCAATAGCACAACTACATGAAAACTGTGTATATCATATTGTAGATTCTAGTATATTATAGTAGACTTTGGTATATCATGGTGTGCTATAGTACATGACAATGTGTTATATAATCCTCCTCCTCCTGCTGCTGCTACAACTGCAGCCGCTCACCGCTGCGGTCGCCGCCGCCGCTGCTACTGGATAATCGAAAAGAAAATCGAAACTACCATAGCATATTATAGGGTATATGGGGGCTTCCGAAAATTGGGGGCACCCTTTTGGAGGTCCCTATGATAAGGACTATAGTATTTTGGGGTCTATATTGGGGTTCCCTTATTTTGGGAAACTCCCATATATTGGGGTTATACAGGGGTATAATGGAACCCACTATAGTCTATTACATAGGGATTATATAACTCCTCCTGCCGCTGCTACTACCGCAACGAAGAAGTCGTCCTCTTTCCCAGAGGCTTTTCTCTTCTTGCCGCTGGACGGGATGACCACCTGCAGCAAAGCAGAAACCAATGCAAGCAGCAAAGTAGAGGAGCAACAAAAACGGAGACCAAGGTTTGTGAGGTATGTCTTGCAGACGTTATCACTATCATTATCATTATCATTATCATTATTGTTGTTATTCCTACTGTTATTGTTATTGTTGGTATTAAGCGTTGTTATTGTCATAGGGTTCAGGGTTTAGGGAGATCCAAGAGCTGGAAAGGGATGGCCTAGCAAAACTGTGGTTGACACATCATGCTGCCACCAGTCCTTGTACGCGTGTGAATTGGAGCTTCTCGTCAAGGCATTTTTCACCTTGCCGGTCTGGAGATATCTCCAAGCTAGAGATCGCTTTCTGAAAATGTACGTACATGATAGAAGGGTAGCTGCTGGATAGACCCAAGTTTGCTGACTACCCGCGGTAAAAGTCTATCTCTGCTTGCTGGGGGGGTCCTTTGTGAGACACATCAACCAAAGCACGCAGAGCCTTCGGATCAACAAACTTGAACAGGTCCTGGAAGTCGGCCCCCATCATGTGCTGCCTGTTGGCTGGAAGCAAAGCCTATTGCAAAGCTGCTTGCTTACAGGCAGGCAGGCAGCCAGGCAGGCAACCAGGCAGGCAGGCAGGCAGGCAGGCAGGCAGCCAGGCAGGCAGGCAGGGTCGTGCCTTTTCTCCAGTAGCTTTTGCATTCCAACACTGTGCTGGTGGGTCCAGCGAAGACAGAGGAAGGCTTATGTGGAATTGAAACCCTGCACAATAGCGCAAGCCTGAAAATGGATGCAACGCGCACCTTCATGGGGGTTGCGCGAGCTGACGAATTATCTCAGCAAAGTGGCAAGTTCAACATAGTGTCAGTCAGCCAAACTTGCGCCTGAGGCATGTGGCTGCAACTTCTCAGATGACTCGCACTGCGAAGCCCAGAAACAGCAGCGCCTCTTCCCAGAAGAGGCAGACGCGGGGGCCGCTTTTCTTTTGCCGGAGCCACCCGAGCCTGATTGTACTGTCGAGCCGTACTTGATGACTTGAGGGCTCAGTAATTGTCGTTAAACTAAGTGATCCTGATTATATCCCAACTTCATTACAGTACAAGTCCATGGTGCTGGGTCAGAGCCAATGTCTCTAGTTCTCCTATTCATCACATTACCCGAGTGTTGGACCTGTTTGAACCTTGAAACTGAAAATGGGCGTCCTCGTAAAGCTCCCTCAGCTCTCGTGGGTTCATGTGTGGGGGACGATTTTTGGCCCCTTGACCAAATACACACTAAATACACAAAGGAGGGACTTCTGATATAAGTTATTTGCCTGCAACTCCTTAAGCGCGCGCCAAAATATATCAAAGAAGGTCTCTACATCAGCGCAGGTCCGACTTTACTTCTACTTCTACACATGAGCGATAGTCTAAACTCCTAGTATCCGCCTTAATTTAACCTCCATAATATTCCCCGACATAACCCCCTTTTGCTGAACCTTCTTGACTGGAATCCCCTCGTTCAAGGCCGACGCTTCGTGCGGCCGCCAATGCCTTTTTGAAGCGCTCCAAGTTGGCCTGTCCATCTTCGGTTGAGGGTTTGGGGTTAAGGGTTTAGGGTTTAGGGTTTAGGGTTTTTTTTTTCAACCCCTCGCACCTTTTCTGATGCTAGCAGTCGCTGGGGAGGAAAATGGGTTTAGGGTTTAGGGTTTAGGGTGGGGTTAAGGGTTTAGGGCTTAGGAGCGGTTCCAATCGCAAGGATCTGCATATTGCAAACAAAGCTGGAGAGGTGTCGCACCTTGCTCTTGACGTCATGATCCACAATGGGCTGTGGATAGTCCTCGAAATACACATGCTAGTTCCCAAGAATCGAGGGACCCAATATAGACCCCAATATATTATGATCCTTCTTACTAATTACAGGGATCCCCGAAACAGTACCCCTAAGTTTAGAGGTAAGTTTAGGGAACCCCACATGCCTACAAAGTGCTCCGACGCTGTGTTAGAGGATGAGAACTAGGTCAGGGTGGCAGAAAGGCCAGGCGATGTGACGAATCATAGGGTTTAGGGTTTAAGGTTATATAGGGTATATATTGGGGTGATATAGGGGTTATACAGGGATAATGAAAAAGAAAATGGAAACCATATTATAATAGGGTATATATTGGGGCTATATAGGGGTTGTATAGGGATAATGGAAAAGATAATGGAAACTGTTATATCACTGGTTGCATGTTGCCCCGTCCTTCCCCACAATGCATCCAGCCGTCTTTTGCACCTACATCCAGAAATACATTCAAGATTGAGATAAAGAGGTAGTGTATGTATGCCTCCTTGGGAGCTGTCCATGGCGCATAGATGTACTTGCCTGACGAGGGCCAGTTGGCCACCATACGCGCACAGCCTTGCTGACCGCCCAGGTTCGGGCTGGGCATCTTTCGAAGCTCCGGAACGAACTCGCGGATAAACTTGCCCTACAACCAGCTACAAGTCGACCATGCTTGGCGGGACTGGCAATCTCTTTCGCATGCCCAAAACAACGTCTTCGTCACCTCGGCATCCTTCACGTTGAGGGAGGAATCCATTTTAGGGACCTGCAGAACAAGCTACTCCCACCGACACACTTCGACGCATGCCGCCTGGGTTTCGCACAGGGTGGTAGATCCGGAAGAAAGGTGGAGACCACGGTGCGGCACCGGAGAGACCGAGCCAGTTCATGTTGTTCAGGGACCAGTCCTCAGTGTGAACTTCACAGCCTGAACTTCTAAACAAGGAAAAGTGACACCCGCATGAGGCACTGGCGGCATCCACGAGCAGCTTGTCAAAGACATCCCGGCCTCCAAACGCCATAGCTGCTGTTAGCTGCTGTATGCTGCTCTGTGAAGGGAAGAAACCAAGGCAGATACAGGCAACATAGCACGAAGAGCCTTCTTCCCAAGAGAGCCAAAGATCACCGCGTGTGAGGAAGCATGCTACTGCATGCCGTGCCAGATGGTGCATCCACCCTACCTTCAGTTCGTCCGATGCTGTCATGACTGTCATTGTCATGCTAGATCTCGGTGTCACGCCCGAGCCAGTTGCCGCATGCAGGCATCAATGTAGGGGAACCCCGTCCTCTCCAGGAAAGGAGGCAGGGTCCTATATCTCTTTGAGGCCCGTCTTGAACTCTATCATCGCTTCATTTTTAACATGGCCCCTGCGCTGTACTTCAGACTCCCTAAAAAGAAGACGCCAGAGATCTAGGCAGAGGAGCTCCTTCCAGTTTCCCATGCCTTCAGGAATTTCTTGTTCTTATCCCAGGGAATCGGCCTCACTCTTGCATTCTTCAGAAACAAAGATGTCTAAGTATGCAAGAGAAGGAGATGAGCTAACGCCTGATGAAGGTGTTTGATGAAATACGCACCTGACTGAGCCCTTGGCTTACAGCTCGGGTTTCCGGCCTTCCAAAGCCATGAATTGCTCACGAAGTCTTGCAGGGCCCGCTCATCTTGTTGATTCGTGGGCCACTGGCTGCTCACACTTGCAAACGCTGGGCCTGCCGATCAAAGTTGGGAATTGATGCCTGGCTGTAACAATCAAAGCAAGCAGCGGTGCCAGTATGGTGAACCAGTCACAGTTCGAACAGTCGAGAAACTCCCATGAGGTACGCCATCTCTCGAAACAGAATCCTGGGCAAATCGCCAAATTCGAACGCGACATGAGCTTGAGATTCATTGCCAGGGGCTACGCTGGGTGCTTTTTGCCCTGGGTGGTCTCAGCTAGTAAGATCCGCACTTGCGGAAGATCCTTCTGCTCAATGCTTTGGAGCATGTCACGGCAAGATGTCCAACAGGCAGTCAGCTCTTTGGCTGACATCACTTTGCAGAAATGCTTGAAGAGGGGCACAAGAACCCAAGCATCCGTGGACGCATAGAGCAACATGTCAGCTGGCAGGGGACGTAGCCGCCAGTCCGAGGTCTGGTGTTGCTTATCCAGGGAACAGTCCAAAATATTTTTGCAGACATCCTTCAAGCCCACAGAATTGGGATGTCCAGTGTGAACTTGGTATGCTGTGGCAGTGTCAAATATGTTGCACACGCATAGGCCAAAGTTGCTACGAAGCCATCGAAGATCGTTATGTGGGCTGTGGAAAACTTTTACAACATTCGGGTCGGTCAGCAGCTGTGCCAAGATATCTTTCATGGCTTGGTGAAGAAGCAGAGCGTCGAATATGCAGTGGCAAGCCACGCCGCGTCTTTGCCAGGAGATTTGCACAGTGCAGACAACCTCGTTGTAGCACTCCAGGTCTATTCCAATCACTGCCACTTCAGACCGCAGGTCCGATCGCAGCTTTTCGATTGCAGCTAACGCCTCCTTAATATCACTCACAAAGCTTATGGAGGATAAGTCCACTACACTACCGTGGCTGGGGCCACTAAAAAAGTCTTGACGCTGCAGAGTGGTAGCAATGGCTTGGAAAGCCTCGATGCCTAGGGTGCAATCTGCCAAATGAAGATTAGCCTGCGGCCTCTGCACCTCAAAGGAGAGAACCTTGGCAGGCTGCCTGTTCACCATGCTCCCCGGTGTCTTCTCAAGCAGCCAGTGTGCGATATCAGCGTGTCCAGCTACGGAAGCCTGATCTGCAGCTGCTTGAACCCAGCCATTACCAGCATCTCGAAATGGCTGCCGCTCTAAGAGCAGAGAAATGGACTCCGCTTGTCCGAAGTGGGCTGCTACCAGGACCAGAGGCACTTCTCTGCCGGCCTCCGAATCCAATGGCCATGGTCTTGTGCTTAGGAACCCGGCACTGCACCTCAGGTCTGTTGATGGCAGCTCTGACGTCAAGACCTGAAGAAGTTGGACTCGGCCACATGCAGCTGCTGAGGCTAGAGCAAACCCCCCCTTCAAGGAGGGATCTGCCTTCTTGTCCAGAAGCAGTTTCACCGCACTTTCGTTCTGGACCTCCACTGCAGCGACGAGTGGCCACGAAAGTTGCCCTGGGCAGCTTGAGATGAGCACCTGCAGTAGTCTGTCCGGCACGAGCCTGTTGCGCAACATCACTGTTAAGGTTTGCTCCAAAACCTTTGCGCCTCTGGACAGGAGGATCTCACAGCAGTCCTGCATTTCTGCCAACTCGCCCTCCTCCAGGCGGAGGCTCCGCGCCTCAAGGGCTGCACGCCTGCTGTCCCAGCTAGTGGGTGACGGCAGAGGCACTTGGAACGGAGGCCAGCTCTTCAGAGGCTCCAGATCTTCAAAGGCTGTGGCAACGCAGAGGCCAAGGAGATCCGTGTCGGTTGAAAGGTGAAATGACGACGTCATGAGCTTTCCCAACAGCCTGCTGCTTCTCATCCGGCATGCACAGCTCACTGCGCTCAGCATGATATTTGGTAAGTCGTCAAGCGGATCGTCTCTTTGAAGGCCAATGAGAAGCTCTTCCACAGCGCCTTCTCTCTCACCGGCAACTGCATGATCGAGTGCAGAGTACCCTGAACTCTCGCACGCATACGGGTCTGCCAAAGCACTCAGCAACTGCCTCAGGCACGTGCACTGACCTCGGAAGGCAGTGCTTGCAAGAGCCCCAGTA